GCCCTGGCTGCCTACAGCCATAACCTCCCACCCCTATTATGGACTTTCCCTTTGTAACTGTAAGGCAAAATAAACTCCTCTTACATTAGCTGCTTTTGGTTATGGTGTTTGCAACAACATAAAGTAACCAAACACAGTAGGTCTACAACATGTTTTAAATCAGATTATCTACTTGCCAGCTCTCATAGTTTCTTCTGGTATCAGCAACATCTGATGGACACACAGTTTGTACAGGTAGACTTTTCAGTCTGACATTTTCTTTCCTGGCAGAAACTTTTTTTAGTTTAATGTAATTTAATTAACTGATTTATTTGCTGTCCAAAAAACTGTTGTTCACTCCAAAGTCCTGAAGCATTTCTCTGTTTTCTCTTTTATTTCTTTCATTCTTTCTTATTTTCTTATTTTGTTTCTTTATGTAGATTTGCAGTCAGTCTGAGAATTCACTCTGTAGATCAAGCTGGCCTCGAACTCACAGAAATCCACCTGTCTCTACCTCCTGAGTGCTGGGATTAAAGGCGTGCACCACCACCGTCTAGCCCTTTTCTGTTTTCTTTTAGTTCTTTTGTATCTTAAATTTTCAAACAGCTTTGAGTAGTTTTTAGAACTGGTGAGAAGAAGGAGTCTATTTTCATTCTTCTAACTATAGATGTCCAATGGTTTCAACACTGTCTATTGAGAAGATAGTCCTTCCTCTACTGTGTGCGGTTAGCAACTCTTTTGAAAACTGGCTGTCTATAGATGGGTAGGGTTGTTTATTACAATCCTTAGGTATGCTGTGTGTCATGCAAATACAAAGAAAGCTGTCTCACCACTAGAATTTTCAGTATATTTTGAAGTCCTATTTTGTACAAGTATCTTTGTTCTTTTCACTCAAGATTGTTTTGGCTTTTTAGGATCTTTAAAATAACTTTAACTGTACCCTCAGCATGTTGGTATCTGGGGTGGAAAACTTGAGAGCTACAGTTGACTGCCGTAGAAAGTGTGGCTGGATTTCAGTCAATTTATTTGAAAAATATGCAGTGTAATTAGCATACTAACACTAAAGAAAACACTGAACCATATCATAATGCAACATCTCATGATTAGCTAGGATGAGAGTTCATTATACAAAAATAGCAGAGGTAAAGAGGAACTAAACAATAACATAAAACTTGATTTTAGTTTTCAAACTTCACACAAAAGAAGTCCTATGCATTCAGGGCACCATGGCAAAGCCTCCACACTTCCTTCAAGGTATAAAAAGATCTGTAAAAGTCTTAATCTGGCTTTTTAAAAAAACTTGAAAAACTGAAGTATATTAAAGTAGAAAAATCTAACAGAAAAAAGAAAACAAACAATGAAACCATCAGTTACAGCAAAATCTATCATAATGAGCTTAACAAGCCGCACATATAACTGCTCTGAGTATTAGTTACTATAAGGTATTCAAAGACAACTGACTGAACATAAAATCTGATGCAGTGGTAACTTGAGAAAGTGACTTCATTATGCTGGAAATGGAAAATTTCCATTTCTTTCTTATTGATGGACTCTAAGGTAGGCACTGCTTACCTTTGTTACATTTCCTTGCCAAATTTCCTAAAAAGAAATTTAGGTAACAAACCTCAGAAGAGACAATGTCTTGTTCCAGGCCTTGCTGATGTCATAGCTTGCTGACATTAGGCCATGCTGAGAGTCTGTGTGGTATGTTCTAGCATGTTTGTACGGGAATTGATCCCAAAATTCAGCTTAGTTGTTGATCTAGATTAGCATTTCCAGAAAACTATTCCCTAGGAAATAAATATGTCATACATCATCAGACAGACATCCTGTTATCAGGATAAATGTCATAGTAAATATGCCCAGTAGATATTAAAATGTGAAAGTATTAAATTGGAAATACAAAAACAGGCAATGAACCTTTTGGTGTCTTAAAACCAGCAACTTTTGAGAATGTTTGCATCCTGTTGCTGAGACTGAAAGCCCTGTGCATAGTGGGTATTTCTTCTCTTTGAACAACTTTCCTAGCTTATTGTTTGAGACAAGAGCTTGCTTTGTAGACTAGGCTAGCCTCAGACTTGTGATCCTTTTCATCAACTGCTTCAGTGACAGGCTTAACCATGCAGCATTTACCCAGGCTCTGTTTTACATGTTGGCACATGTCACAGTTCTAGCCTGGCTGGCAGCTGACCCTTTGACAGACCTTTTTATGTTTGATTCTGTTGTCATCTCATGCTTCTTGATTTTAAAGTACAACACTGCAGAAGCTTTTCAGTTTCAGGAGGTCCCATTTATTAATTGTTACTCTCAGTGTCCTTTGCTTTACAGAAGCTTTTCAGTTTCAGGAGGTCCCATTTATTAATTGTTACTCTCAGTGTCTGTGCTGCTGGGATTATATTTAGGCAGTGGTTTCCTGTACCAATGCATTGAAGTGTACTTCCCACTTTCTCTTATATGAAATTCAGTGTGGCTGGCTTTATGTTGAGGTCTTTGATCCGTTTGGACTTGAGTTTTGTGCATGGTGATAGATATGTATCAATGGAAAGAGATATTTTGATTGAGGGATCCTTTATGGGGTTAGCAAGAAACCTGGCTCTAGAAAAATTCCCAGAAATACACAAGGATAACCCCAGCTAAGACCCTAAGCAGTAGAGGAGATGGTGCCTGAACTGGTATTGCCCTGTAGTCAGACTGATGATTACCTTAAATATCACCATAGAACCTTCATCCCACAACAGATGGAAACAGAGGCAGAGACCCATATCAGAGCACTAGACTGAGCTCCCAAGGTCCAGTTGAAAAGTAGAAGGAATGAGAATAAGAGCAATGAGGTCAAGGCCATAAAGGGTTCATCCACTGAAACAGTTTACCTGAGCTAATGTGAGCTCACCAACTTCAGCTGGACTGGGAAGGAACAAGCATAGGACCCAAACTAGTTCCTCTGAATGTGTCTGACAGTTGTATGGCTGGGGCAGACTGAGGGGTCACTGGTAGTGTCACTGGGATTTATCTCTACTCCATGTACTTGCTTTTTAGAATCCTATTCTCTTTGAATGAATACCTTGCTCAGCCTAGATGTGGTAGGGAGGGCCTTGGAATTTCCAAAATGGGAAGTGCCTTACCCTCTCTTAGGATTGGGGGGTGGAGTAGGAGGATGTGTGGAGGGAATGGGAGGAGGGAAGGGAGTGGGAATTTGGATTGGTATTGTTTTAAAAAGAATCTAATAATTTTTTTTTAAAAAAAAGAAAAAAAAAGACTTTAGATTTGACGCTAGAACAGTTAATGAATCCACAGGAGACAGCTCTTCACTAGAGCTCTTTTTAGTCTGGTGACAATATTCCACTGGGCATTTGTTCACTAATGGGCATTTGTCAACTTTAGGTTATCAAAAATAAATATAATAAATGTATATGTTCAATTTCTGTACAGGTAAATGGTTTTTTATGTTGGGTAAAAACCTAGGAGTAGCACGCTATTTCACTTTATAAGCAACTGCCCATTGAAAGTGGGTGTGCTGTACTTCATGCTTTAACAGCACAAACTTGTAAGCAGTGATGGGATTCAGGACTTCTCAAGATTAAGAGAATCTAAATAACAATGTTTAATTTTGTTAAAATAATAAAAATCTATTAGTACTATATTGTAACTGGTAATAGTACTCCCCATGAACTCGACTGTAGCAATGTTGTTCCTATCTTAATCTGTTCTGTCTAAAAGGTGACACCTGGAGCTGGGGCTCAGTGCTAGACCTCTTGCCTGACACGCACAACACCCTTGATTCAAACCCTGCTCTGCAAAAAAAAGGTAAAAATAAAAATTTCAAATCATAAGGATTTGGTATTAAAGGATCAGGGTAGCTAAAACTTATCTATATAATAAATTTTGATCTATTTGGAAATTTTCAATGCTTATATTAATGTTTGCACTAATACTAGTATTTTCTTCTAAATAGTTGTGTATTAAGTAAAATGCAAAGAATTTTTTTACATTTTAAGCGATATTTCTTCCACTCTTCAGACCTGTTATGGTGGTCTTCTCAGAGGTACGACTACTGGCCAAATAAAAAATGCTAAAACACAGGGCTGACTATTAAATTTTAAGGTCATATTTAGCCCAATCCCCTGTGTGTAAAACATTAAAAACTCACTGCATCAGTAGAGTTGAGTGGGGAGAGGACCACTCTCAACTGTGTTGCTATATGTGTGTATGAGTGTTTTGCCCATGAGTATGTCTATGTACCACATGCATGCCTGTGTCCACAGAGAATAGAGGAAGGCACTGAATTCCCTGGAACTGGAGATATATAGATGGTTATAACCTACAATGTGGATACTGGGAACCACATCCAGGTCTTTGGAAAGAGCAGTAAAGTACTCTTGATCTTGGAGCTACATCTCTAGCCCCTATTTCTTCTTACTGTAATGCATCTTTAGTTCTTACAACTTAGAAAATGATAGAAAAATAATATTTAACTTATTAGTTGAAGAAAATGTTAAATTGGATTCTGTGTGTTATAAATATTTTGTAAAAAAATCAGTATTTAAAAACAGGGTGCTAATATGGAAGTAAAGATTTCTAGAATTATTTCAAAAGAAACGTTCATTATATCTTTGTCATTTCAAAAATAAATAATAGAAAAAAATCAGAATAGAATATACGTAAAAGGTAAATGCTAGGTTTCCTGTTGCAAGATCTGTTGCAAAATGTGTATACATCCATGTCTCTGTGTTCCATAAGTAATGCCTGTGTTCTTACCTAGACAGGTTAACAATGTTTTGAAGTCATTTTCTGCCTCAACAAAGGCAGGAAGTTCAGAAAAAGTAATTCTAGCTCAGAACCTCGCTTCTTTATCCTTTACAAGGTTTTGTTTTGTTTTTTAAACTTCCTTCAACTTTTGTGGCTCTAACTACAATGTTAAACTGTTATTTTCAGTCTGGTTGTATTTTCCTCCAGTTCCAGGGTAAAATATTCACTGCCTACACATTCCATTTGGTTACCTATGGGCAAAATGCTTCACATACCTCCAACAAAGCCACTCTTCTGCTCCACCCCCATGCTGTTGCCCCAGCCAGAAGGTCTTCTCTTCCTGCCTTCTAGAGTTTTCTCCTGCCTTCACTCTTTCATCTTTTGTACCAAGTCTTTCTGTACAGCTAGAAATAATGTTTTCAATTTTCATTTTTAATTAAAACTTTTAAATCAAAGCTGTATTTAATATATTTATTTTATTTTAAAGATATAGACATCACATTCTCTTGCTCAGAGACAAACACATTCAATTCTTAGCATTTAAACCTTATTTGATCAATATTCAGATATCAATACATCCACCTGTGTATGTATATAATTTTATTTCTGGATTGTTCAGTTTTAGGTAATATCTACTGATGCCTTTCCATGAAGAATGAAAAATGACCATCTCTCAATCAACAAAAACAATGATTAATGACGATTAAAAACAATCTCTAAGTATAGAATTTTAGACTGAAACTGAAAAGCATTATTCCAGTCTCCTCTGGTTGACAATATCAGTATAAAGACAATGAAGATTTCAATGTTTTGCATATAATTTATTTATTTCTCTATAGAAATCATGTTAAGCTTTTAAAAATTATTTTATTTTATTTTGACACAGGGTCTCAATATTGTAGCTCTGGCTGGGTTGGAACTTACTATGTAGACCAGGCTGTCCTGGAACTCATAGAGATCTGCCTGCCACTATTTTCTCAAGTGCTGGGATGAAAGGTGTGTCATGCCTGGTCAATGTTAGAAAATTTTATAATGACGTATCTCAGTATGTTTTCATCCATTTATCCAATGTTTGGTGGGCCCTTCTGTGTGAACTGTACAGCAAAATTCTGTTTTAAACATGTAGTCTCTTGAAGTTTTTAAGTGTCAGTACTGGGTGGAAAGTATAAGGACCTGATTTAGTTTACAGGCCCACGTTTAAGTGTAGAAGCAAATTAGAACAATTGAAAAAGACAGAGGGTGTTGACTTCTTGCCTCCATGTGTACAAATAAAGTGCATATTCATGTTCAATTGATGCTTTATTCACAATAGTCAGGTAATGGAACTAGACCAGATGTTCGTCAAATGATGATTAGGTAATGAAAATAAAGTTACACACACACATGCACCACACACACACACACACACACACACACACACACACACACACATACACACACACACACACAGAGAGAGAGAGAGAGAGAGAGAGAAATTTTATTCAGCTAAAGAAAAATTGAACAGCACAATCTGCAGCAGAATGGATCGAAATGGAAAATATTATACTAAATGAGGTAATATAGACCCTATAAAGGCAAATTCACACATTCACTCTCATATCCTAGCTTAAATTCTCAGATTAGTGTATTTTTAACTTGGCGTGTTTGCAGAGACCAAGGAGTTAGAAACAGAGGGAAAGGGCCTTAAAAGAGGGATCAGTAGTAGAAGACACATGACAAACTAGGGGTATAACTGAAGGTAGACAGGTTTAAGTGGAAATGGTAGCGGAGAGGGTAGAGAAGAAGGGGTAAGGAAGAGTGTTAAGCAAAACTAAGTATATATGAAAAAAGCCACATGAACACCTACTATTTTGTAAGCTTATTAAAAATAAAGGCATAAAAATTGAATAGAGGTACCCTCTGTGGATAGATAACCTAGAGGAAATAATGGGTTTTTAAACAAAAATTCTAGTGTCAGGTATAGGATATCTCCCTATAAGCTGCTGCTCAGGGAGGCTTCAGAGGCTCATAATCCAACATGGGTTATTGCTAGTGCTTTTGGTTACCCACCAGAATTAAGACATCATACTTTGGTGACAGGACAGAGAGAAATCGAACTGGAACTGACCTGGAAAATTCCTCCCTAAGATCTAGCATTCATAGTACTAGCAGGTGCTATGTAGGATACTGAAGGAAAGCAGTCATCAACAATCCCACACAGCTACTGAAAATCATGTAAACTGTAATACCAAGATGAGGCAATGGTTATAGGGGCAACCAATTGCTTTCTAAAGTTGGACTGGCCCACAGGAGGGAATTCACACCTGGGATTTGTAGAACTGGTCAAAGATCCATGGCTCAGGAGCTCACAGGCTCACAAGAGAATATACTACTGTTGTTTTGCTTGATGAACATGTTTCCAAGCTGCCTTTTAAATATTTATGTTTATGTCCATAGATAAGTGCTGCTCTCAACGTTGGTGAGAAATAAGCTAATTTTGCAATGAGCAGTTTTAATTCAGAGACTCATAACTGATTAAGATGCTAAGAATAAATAACTGTTGAGCATTCAGTTCAAAGTGGGACATCTTTACCAACCCTTCCTAAACTTGAAGCCCATCATGAAGAGCAAGTAGAAAGAATATAAGAATAAAAAAAGGAAAAGATGCTGAAAAACAATGTCTTCTAGATTTTAGTCATAAACTCATTGAAACTGTGGTTGTCTGTACAAGGTCTGGAGAAGATGAAGCCCATCAACATTCCAACAAGGATGAAGAAGGAGCTCATAGGCCCTATCAACCCCTCCTGAGAGACTACTGTCAGCTAAGTATTTTGGGTACATGTGATTTTCTTTGTGGTACAACTACTAGCAGGTTTTCATGCTCCAATAAATAATTTCCAACCCATACTCCTACAAACTGCAGTAGGTAAACTCAGTGGATCACATAATACAAAAAGGAAAGAAGGGAGGGTTTCAACAGAAGAAGGAAAAGGTGGAGTAGTTATGAGGCTGATAATGACAAAAATACATTATATACATATATGGAACTGTCAAAAATATTTAGAAATAAAACTATTAATGTAAGTAACAACATAAGAAAATATTTTAAAACTACTATTTGGGAAAATTGTGGGCATCTTTTTCAGTCAGCTACAAAAGCCTCATAAACTCTAACATCTGTACCTCCATGTTTCTCTGGATTTTATATGGATGCGACAGATCATTTTGTTGATACACAAACCCTGACAATGAGTGAAAAGCAGGGTTCAGAGTCTAAGGGCTTAGAAGAGTGAGTATAAAACTCCAGTTGTAGGACAGTGTGCTGCCCATATCCCCGAAAGAAAAGTGGGTTTAAGAGGCCTGCCCTGATAGTACCAGAACATTCTTGCTATGAATATAAAAAGACAAAGTGATTTCTTAATTAAAAACAAACTAGATTAAAAAAATAAGTAGAAAAAAATCCTACATACTTTATTTGAAGAAAGTATTCTTTAAGCATTTTTGTGTAGTTCTGAGGTAATTTTCTAATTATAGCATCATGCTTCCCTGACTAATAAGAAATGCTGGGTTGACTGAGGTATGGCCTAGCCGAGGATCAGGTGAACCCAATTAACCCAATTTTATCTTGCACATCCTAAGTGATTTATTTTCAATGTACAATGTTGTTCCCTAAGTCCTTTAGAGTGCAACAAGAAAAATCCATAAACAAGCTCTGAAGGCCATGACATTAATTTTGCTGTCATTCTTATGCCTTAAGTGTATATCCAAGACTACAAAAATTCTTGTCCTTTGGGAAAGAAGGCAAATCTGAAACTAATTATGGCAGTTATTATCATAATAATATTAAATTAAATGCTATGACCTTAGAGAAATTTATTTTGGTACAATTTTGCTAATGAACACATCTTCTCAAATGAGATTAGCTCACTCATGCCTAGAGCAAAATGGTTTGAACAGAGGCCTAGCAGAACAAAACCACCATACAAAACTTGGAATTTCCATTCTCATAAGGCTCAACTGGAAAGTCTGATGTAATGAACTTGGCACTCCTGGACTTGTTTTACAGAAAATGTGGTATCTGTTACAAAGTTTTATTTAAGAGTCAAAAACTTCAAATGCCCTTGGATGTAATACTGAATGAAGAGTCTTATCTGTCATAGTTATTGCCTCCTATGGTCATTCATTACTACTTCCTATTGTCATCTGTTTGCTGGGAATTTGCTTATAGTCAACATCTCTATTTGTTGAAAGTTAAGAGGGAAAGGAAACACAGTATTCCAACAGCTTCTTTCTATGATTGAGTTTTTAAAAGTCCTCTCTGTGTGTGTGGGGGGGGGGCATGAACATGATACAGTGGGTATGTGAAGGTCAGAGAGCTACTATGGATGTCAGTCCTTACTTGGTTGAAACAGTCTCTTGTTTGTTCCTCTGTATGACAGGCTAGTTGGCTCACAACCTGGGCATTCTCCTGTCTCCACTCTTTATTATGACACAGGAGTTCTGGGATCTGGGATTACTTATCCATGTCACTGGGTCTGGTTTTGTATGGGACCTAGAAATCCAAACTAAGAACCTCACATTTATATGTCAAGCGCTTTTATCGACTGAGCCATCTCCTCAGCTCCTATTCCTAAGCTTTAAGAATCAAGCTGCTTTATGTATTGTGAGGATAAGATGCACGAGTAGCAACACCCAAGCTCAATGAGATCCTGTTGGCTCAGGTTCCTAGAACCTCAACATCTGAACTGAGCTTCAGGTAGGAAAGGAAGCCCCCTGACCTGGCATGAGGACATGTTTGCTATTGAGTTCTCCAGGGCTCTGAAATTGTGTAGATACTTACAGACTACGATTGGCTTGCTTTAATTCTTACAAGTGCTTGAGGACAGGGATTAGAGCTGAGGTCAGTGAAAGATGACTCTGATGGGCAGTGAGGGAAAATTAGGCAAGTAAGACTACCAACCTTTGTGTTACAACCGATGAGCAGGAAAAGATGTTGAAGTTGCAATCACAGAAGAGAAAATACAGGCAGAAAAAAACCCAGTGGCAATAGAAATGGAATGTGAAGAAATAAATTCCTTAAATTCTATTGAGACACAATGACATAAATAACCACTCAAGAGCTGGTTCTTTGTGTATTTTCCTGAACTCAGCAGAGATGTTTCTAGACAGCTTGCTCAATGCCGACGATCTTGAACACCACTAATTAACAACTAGTGTTAAATGGTCCTATTGCTGATCAGATACAATCATGAATTGAGATAACATTAAGTACTTTAAGAACATCTTTTATTTGTCCAAACTTTAAAGTTAACTTTAGAATAAGATTTCATTTGATCTCCATGTTTTGAAAAAAAAATAAGATTTCACGTTGGTAATATTAACTGAATACAAGACACTAGGTCACAGAAAGGTGAGAAGAGTGTGGAAAGGCAGCAAAAGATTTCCACATCAGTTTACTGTAGGCACTCAGAGATAATAATTCAAAGGACACTGCAAGGAGAGCCTTCCTCACCTTCTATTTTCATTTCTTTGCTTAATAATTCTAATCCTCACGTTCCTACCCTAGAACATACAAGTTTTATTGAAGCTGCTCACCAACACTATTTCACCAATCCCTATTTCAACATATAGTTTGTACTTAAAACTGTAACATTTTTTAAACTTCTAACCTAGTGAATGAAACTTCTGAATTATTTTTTAAATGTTCCATTATACTTTGTCTTAATAGATTATAAAAATAGTAAAGGTATCGTGCCACAAGGACATGTGCTCAACTATGTTCATAGCAGCATTGTCTGTCATAGCGAGAACCTGGAAACAACCTAAATGCCCCTCGACCTAAGAATGAATAAGGAAAATGTGGTACACTTACACAATGGAGTACAACATAACAGAATAAAAAACGGCATCTTGAATTTTACAGGAAAATGGATGGAGCTAGAAAACATTATTTTGAGTGAGGTAACCCAGACACAGAAAGACAATTATCACATATACTCACTCATAGGTGATTTTTAAACATAAAGCAAAGAAAACCAGCCTACAAACCACAATCCCAGAGAACTTAGACAACAATGAGGACATTAAGAGATCAAATAAATCTAATCTACATGGAAAGTAGAAAAAGACAAGATCTCCTGAGTAAATTGGGAGCATGGGGACCTTGCTCACAAGTCTAAGTACATAATACATATAATCACGTATTAGATAATAACATTTGCTTAACAATAGATCATAAATAACAGTGGTTCTCTGTCAGCAAGCTTTTGTGTTGTTGTGACACGAGAGAAACAAGTCAAAGATGGATGGATCTGTTTGACTCTGGTTCCACGGTTGGGAGGGCAGAGAAGCTCACAATATTGTGTTTAGAAAATACAGGAAGGACAGAGGGTAAGATATAATACTCAGGGACAATTCCTAGCGATCTACTTGAATCTAGCCCTCCTCCCAATCATGTCAATGTATGATGAATAAAGTAACTGTCTGGCATTAGGTCAAGGCCTCATGACCCAGCAGTCTCTGGAAACACTCTCAGACACCCAGAAGTGTGCCTTACTAGTAGTATCTCAGGTATCCCTGATCCAATCAGGTTGATGCTGAAGATGAACCACCACAGCTTTCATAACTATCACGAGCTGAAAAATTCCTCTTACCTAGAAAAATCACAGCATAAAGTCTGCAGTGAGCTAGTGTAAAGAAACCTGCCCAAGTCATGTAGGGACAGTACATACAGTCATGCAATGTATAGGACTTGGTAGTGACAGCCAATTCTGATGTTATCAAATCAGACATTTACTACATTACACTTACCATGGCCATTTCAGAATGGATCCCTTCTACTTACAAAAACAAAACCAAAAACAAAACCCAAAACCATTACTTTCACAGAACCCATGTGCAGTTTTGTGGAAGGATTCCAGAAGACATTGTTATCGCAGATAGGAGTGACAGCCATGTATAAGTCAGTGTCCTTGAAGACCTACTAATGGGACATAGAGTACAAGTAGAGGACAGCATTGTGGAGGATCTTCATCCTATGTAGGTCTAGGCTAATGTGTGCTTATCTTAGTTTTAAACAAAAAAAAAAGTAGTTAACTTAAAAGAGTTTTTAAAATCAAAAGGGAAGGCTTATAGATAACACTATTAAAATATTTTTGCTTAGCTCTATTATTAATGTTCTTGTGTTTTATACAGAGTTATTATGAATGACTAAATTTCTAAAATGTCAGTGAGATGGCTAAGCAAGTAAAGGTGCCTGCGGCTAAGAATCATGGCCCAAGTTCAATACCCAAGACCCACATGGTGAAGAAACAACTCCTGTTAGTTATCCTTTGACTTTCATATCTGTGCCATGGCATGAGTGCCAGCCTTGCCACATCAGAAAATAAGTAACATGTAAAAAATTTTTAAAACTTAACAAAGTTAAAAAGTAACAACACCAATAAATTAGAATAAAGAAATAAAGTAATTACCTAAATAAATAAATTGAATAAGTAAATAAAGTAAGAAATGAAATTTTAAAAGTAAATTGAGTTTCTCCTTAGGGTAGAGGCCAACCAGAGGAGACATTCCAGGAATGTGTTCTTATGCCTCACTTCCTTGCTGATGAGGAACACCTTCAGGTAAGTTCTATAAGTTCTATTCAAATGTCTTCCTTACAAAGGTATGCTAACTTCACTTTTCCTGTACTGTTTCCAGATGTAGATACACACAACACATGGTGTTAAATGTCTACAGAATTCAGTTAGGTGACATGCTGCAGGGGTTTGCAGTTAAAGGGGCAATAGACTATGCCACATAACACATGTGTGCAGTGGGCTATACTGTCCAGGTCTGTATAAGAACACTCCATCTACACTCAACAACCATGTGCTTTATACTAAGAGCAGTTAGTCACTATTGTAAGAGAGAGGAAGTCTGTAGCTAGAATCTAAGATACTTTTCTGTTCAAGGGCAAATACTTACTTTGATTTTCAAATAAGATAAACTTAAAGTACTTAAAAAATTATTTGTGCCTTCCTCAATTTCACGATGACATTATACTCAATAAATACTTTTCTAGAAAAATCAACTATAAAAAAAATCTATCCTTCAGCCATTAAAAATAAATTCAGAAGATAGTAGCTCTACTGAAATGACAGTATATGTAAGTTCATCAACTTTTTGTCTATGTTTTTCCAACTGAAAATAATTTCCATTTACTAATAGATCATTTAAAATATCAGTATAAAACTCAAAAGAAAAATAATCTAAAGAGACAAGTATTCTGACTTACCCAGATGAGCTGAAGTTCTGAGATGCTATATCGCCCTTGTACAATTTAGTTCTCTTCTCCCAATACAGATCATACTTATATTGATGTAATTTAATGTGTATCTTCCTCAGCAGACTCAAGACTCTACAAGGGCAGGGCTCACATCTGTCTTGATCCCATTACTCCAAGAGCCTTGGAGAGTCATAATTCAAATATATGGACAAATCGACTTTAAAGAATATAAACCTAAACAAAAGGAGATACAAGATTTTACAGATATTCTAAGAAAAAATACTTCTATTTATAAAGGTTACACAATCAACAAAATATACATAGTTAAACACAGAATGAGGACAGGAACAAAGAATACTTGCCCAAATGACTGACTGGTGCGACAAAATTAAAGCATATGTCCCCTAAGATAATGCTCCAAACCTCCACCTCCGGCCTCCCAAAACTAAACTCTGAGTCACAAAGGCAAAGCCTTTAACAGAACAAGTGACCTTTGAAAGGACTCTACTGCTATTATATTCTAAAGGCAAGCTGTTACTAAAATCAATTACTGCTAGATTGCTTCAAAATCCATCATAAGAAAAAAAAAGTCTAACAAACTTCCTTAATACACACACAGATACAAACAACACCCACACTCATACACTTACACATCAGCTTTTGCTCTTGATAATTAATGAGAAGAAGCCAAATCTTTACAATCACTAATGAAAATGTAAGGCTTTGGGGGTCTGTCAATATTTGCACAGCTGAATTTATTCATGAACCTGCATTCTAGCTTTGAGGCAATCTGAAGCAAGACAAAAAGTTATATTTTTAAAATCATATCAAAATAGAAACTTCCTGGGGCTAGAGAGATGGTTCAGCATGTAAGAGCACTGTCTGCTCTTGCAGAGGACCTGGGTTTGATTTCTAGCATCCCCATTTGGCAGCTCACAACTATCTGTAACTACAGCTCTAGGGAACTCAATGCCTCTGGGTTCCGCACACCAACACATACTTGAAAAAAACAGAGTAGTTATTTTATGGCCATAAAAATGGTTGGTGAAAATCATGCTTCTGTATGTATGTGTTCATCTTTTGTCAAAGCAGGATAGTTAAAAATCATAAGTTTATTTGTTAATTAACACAATCAATGACCATACAAACAAGTAATGGGAACTTCTATAAAGGCTCAGGAAGTATTTTCAGTTTTGTGGCTCTAAGATGCCCATTGTCTCTCACTACTCCTGCGAAAAAAACAACATAAAGAATATCTACAAAATTACCCCACCCTTTTCCTGAGTACTGAAACCAGACTGTCTAATTTTCATTTGTCACGAGCATAATCTTTTAGGTTTCTCCCCCTAATAATTCAGAAATGTAAAAGTCCATTAGTCAGACACGATAAAATAGGCCTTTAATCCCAGCACGTGGGAGGCAAAGACAGACTCTGAGTTCCAGGTCAGCTTGACCTATACAAAGAGTTCTAGGTCAGCCAGGGAAACATAGAGAGAAGCTGTCTGGAAAAAAAAGAAAGAAAAAAAAAGGAAGGAAGGAAGGAAGGAAAGAAAGAAGGAAGGAACCCCCACATTCTTAGATTACAGGCCTAAGGTGGCCTGTGAATTATAATCTGTTATCCTATATCAATGGTTTAGAACATTTGATTCATACTTCTTAGTATAGCAATCCTCAACTTGTGGGCAGCAACCTTTTTGGGGGTCATATCAGATATCCTGCATATCAGATGTTTACATTATGATTCATAACAGTAGTAAAAATTACAGTTATAGTATAACAATGAAAATTTTATGGTTGGGGTCAACACAGCATGAGGAATTGCAGCATTAGGAAGATTGAGAAACACTGATTTAGTAGCTAAGTATCCTTATCTTTAAGCCCATCCTAGCCCCACCCCCACATATGAGGAAGACCACCACCACCACCACCACTAGAATGAAACGAAGCTCTCAGATACAGGCAGGAGTAAGCTACACTACTAACATAGCAACTGCAGCAAGAATAAACAAACAAATGGCATGAATATTTTAGACTAAATGTACCAAGCAGTATTCTCAGCATGTGTTATTTTAATTACAGCCATGAAATGGGTATTTCTATGATCCCTATTTTACAAACAAAGAAACTATGGCACGAATGGCTTATGTGAGTTATCTAAGCTTACACAATGAATAAATGTGTTTGTGAGACTCGTGGACAGGCACCATGCTTTGTCTTTTAACTTCACCATTTGTTCTTTTCTTATAAAATTTCCATATTATGTGACAATTCTCAGAAATTAAAATTTATCATAAATTAAGCACATGTAGAAAACAATGTGATACACTTACCAATTAATAAACAGCTAAGCTTTGCAGGACAATGTGATATACAACAACTAATAATAAACAGCTAAGCTTTACTGAGCCTTTCTAGACAATAACAAAAACTGAAGGGCTCAGATGGAGGGGATTTCAGTGTTCGCATGGAAAGACCAGGCATCCAAGTCCCCATTCCTTCCTGTGTGCTGTTCACTGGAATAAACGTTGATGATATTGTCCCAGGAAAAGGGTGCCAAAAGTCACTAGTGCTATCTCTAAATGACTTCTGAACTTTCTTACTTAACTTTCCTTCCAGCTTTGCTGTGTGCAGAAGACACGTACACAGCTATACTGCTTGTCCCTTACTGGTATGCAAGCAGCAATGTTCAACTGCCACGGTGCAGTAAACTAAACCTGCACTCACTTGCATGCTGTCCTTGTTTCTATCATTTTTTTTAGCTTTGAAGGCTGCTGGTATTCCAAATCCAACAATGTGCAGAATAACAGATTCTTCAGTGGGCATTTGAAAAAGTTGGTGCTATTAAAATTATTTAACTAAATACTTAAAACTTATTTCAGCATAGTGTTATTTACTAAAGTGGCTTTTAGAAGTTACAATGAAAGATGGTAACTTCAAACAACTTCAGAATAAAAATACCAAAGAACTAGACATTTGAGCAGTTTGGCTGGCCAAGGAAATAAGAAATGGCTAAAAGTGAATTTATTCCAAAGAGCTGTCACTGGAAGGCAGCTATGTGCCAGACAACTACTTCAGAGTCTGCTTTCATTACTTACAGAAACATGAGGAAACTTAAATGGCAGATGATCTCCATAGCATCAGGCCAAGGACATAAGATATTAGGGTTCTTAAGAGGACAAGGCTCAGAGAAAAATTAATATGGCCAATGTTATAAAGTTGCCATATTTTCTTAAATTTTTGCTTTCTCAAAGCACTTGCCAACAGTAAGCTGCACAATTCTATAATATGTGTGACTAGCATAGTAAGAAAATGATACTTCCTAGCAGAAAGCAAGCACCCATGCTTCCCGAGGTGGTTTAAAATAATATGTATTCCAAGGGAAATTTTCTGGCTGAAATTTGTACTGCAACATTTTCATTTTCAAAAGCCACATCTCAGAGCTGTGGCTTACACTCTCCCTCTCACCGTCTCGGCCTCAGAGCACATCACACTGCATCAGCATTATCTCCTAAAAGCCTTTCTGACATCCATGCTTCCCCTTCTCCACTGCTGACCTCCTGGCACATGTTGCATCATCCCTTGTCGAGAAAACTACATACTCCAAACAGACTTCTGTGGGTTTTCATGGTCTGCTCTTGACTCACTTCACCCTCTACTTCTTGCCCCAGTTCTGCACCCCAGTTAGCCAGCCTTCTTTGAATGTCTTGAGCATAACAGCTTCCCCTCAATAGAGTATTTTTACATATGCTGCACTTGCTTGCTGTAATGATAAAATGCCTAAGACAATTAACTTAGTGGAGGATTTACTTTATTCATGGACTCTAAAGTTTCAGATGGTATTTGGCCTTGTCACTATAGGGTCAATAGTGGGGGAGTACATTTAGTGAGAGGAGGAATAGCAGAGGAGGCTGCTCCTCTCATGATGGGTAGGAAGCAAAAGGAGAGACAGAGAAGAAGGGGCGGGGGCTCCAATATTCCCTTCAAGAGCATGTTCTCACAGCGATCTAACTTATTTCCACTAGGCTCCACCTTCAAAGGTTTTCCTAGTTCTCAATACATATTTCTCTCATATTTATAATTTTATTTAATAATTCCTAGTACCAACAACAGAGAAGCTTTTGGAGAGTGGGCTCAGAGTTCTTTGTATTCAGCATCTAACATCTAGCATGTAGCATCACAACAGAAACCCAAGAGGAGCTCGATCAGCAATTGGTTATGATAAAACTGACATGCCACAAAGTCTCCTTTTAAAGGGTTATTCTATCTACAGCAAGAATGGCTATATTCCACACAACTACAGGCTAGGTTATAGGGTGCCAATCTACATATCACAAATCCTCCTTTGAAGTGTTCTATATACAATCAGAATGGATATATTCTACATAACCACTGGCTAGGTCACATGGTACTTTATGCTCAACCTTCTTAAGAACTGTCAGGCTGTCTGATGACACTTTATATATAATCCTCACTAGCAGTATATGAATTTTCCAGGTGCTAAACAATCCCAGAAATGCCCGTTTCTTCTTTTTTATCATATGGTACTGTGGTAATTCTTAAAAGACTAGTGACACTTAGTACCTTTTCATGTGCTCAATGGCAACTTGTTTTTGTTTTTTGTGTGATAGGGTTTCTCTGTGTAACAGCTCTGGATGTCCTGGAACTAGTTCTTGTAGACCAAGCTGGCCTCAAACTCACAAAGATCTGCCACCCGTGTACTAGGATTAAAGGTGTGTGCCACCACTGCCCAGTCCTACTCACTGACAACTAAAAAAAAATTATGTATGTATGTGTATATATTTAATTACCTTTTTTTGATGAGTTGTAAAAGTTTTTCAACTATTCTGGATACAAGTTTCTTACCAGATATAATTTGCAAATATTCTCTTTTATATCCCGGCTTGTCATTTCAGCCTTGAAGGTTCTTAATTTTGGTGCAAGCCAACTTACCCACTTTTAGTTTGTTACTTGTGCTTTGAGTATCAATCTTATAAATTATTTTGCATAACTCAAGTCATAGAAATGTCAACCCTTGGTTTCCTCTGAGAGTTTTTCAAATGTTTTACCTCTTATCTTCAGGTCTTTACATAACTTCTATTCCTTTTGTTGTTATTGTTGCTGTTGTTCTAGGACCACTTGGTGAAAAGCTATCCTATCCCTATTGATTTTTCTGGGCACCCTTATTGAAAAACAGTGTAGCAGAAATATCAGGATGCATTTGGATTCTTCCTTCT